AGAGAAAGGTGAAGTGAGAAGGCACTGTCCAGGGAGAGTGGACATACAGAAATCCCTCCATTCTCCTCTCAGGATTTTGGGCATTCCTATACCTGGTGTGTCTTTCAGCCCACAGGGTGGAAGACTTGAACCGCATAGTTGACCATGTGGGATCCAGCGCTTTAACCACCACACCACCTGGAGGCTGGGCACTTTTTTTTTTTAAATTGAATTCCCTTAATTTAAAAAAAAAATTATTTTATTTACTTATTTTAATTTGACCAGAGAGAGACACACATGAGGGGGAGTGGGGCGGAGGCAGGGACTGGGGGGGGGGGGGGTGGGAGTATCCAACACCTTAACCACCACGCCACCTGCTGGTCCCCAAGGCTGGGCATTAAAAATAAAATTATTTATTTTTTAAATTGTATTTGTTGTTAGATTTTTGCTATAGGGTACGTGTGCTTGCTGGAGAGACAGAGAAAGAAAGTGAGAAATCACCTCCGGGGAGATGGCCACACCACAATCCCTTCTCCATTCTCCTGAGATTTGGGGCACGCGCGCACACACACACACGCAAGTTTTAAGTCACCGGGTCCAGGACTTGAACTGTAGTCAACTATGTGGGAATTCAGAGATGTAACTGTTACACCATCTGCTGGTCCCTATAATTCATTTTTTAATTTGACCAGAGAGAGAAAGAAAGGGAAAGCAAGAAACCAAGCCACCAAGTCCAGGACTCAAACCACAGTCAATCTTGTGGAAATCCACCACCTCAACTACCACTCCACCTGCCAGCTCCTGGCATTTTTTTTTTTCTTTTAAGAATTATTTATTTAATTTTATGTATTATTATTTTTTAATTTGACCAGAGAGAGATGGACAGAGAAAGGAAAAGTGAGAAAGCAAGCCGCCAGGTCCTGGACTTGAACCACAGTCAGCCATGTGGGAGTCCAACACCCCAACCACCATACCATCTGCCAGCACCCCCATGTTGTTTTTTCACTTGAACTTTTTGAGATCGATTGGCACACAGTTTTAGGAAATTATACTGACGATCCCATGCAGGCTTTACCCAGTTCCCCTAATGGCAACATTGTATAAAACTTTAGTCCAAATCACAATCCGGATGTTGACTTGGACAGTCAGGACGGAACAATTCCACCACCCCAGGGATCCCTCCCGGTGCCTCCTTATAGCCAGCCGGTCTTCCCTCCTGCCCCTTCCCCTCCTTGACTCCTGGCAACTCTGGCCAGGGTGTACATTTGTATGGTTTCATCATTCCCAAGACCTTACAGAAATGGAGTCAGACACTATGTAGCCTTTTGGAGCTGGCCTTTTCTTTTCTTTCTTAATTAGCTAGAGGCAGAGAGGCAGAGAGGGAAAGGGTGGGAGTTCCCCCTCCTGGGGTGCGGTCATAGCAGCATCCTTTCTCCTCTCTTTCCTCATCAAGTCAGGATGTGGGACACCTATGTGCACATGGCTGGCATGTTTCTCATGCCACTGGGTCTGGGACCAGGCCAAGCAGTCGGGCACATGGGATCCAGCCACCTCCACCACCAGGCCTCTGGCTGGCCTGGAAGTTTTCTTGTTTTTAATTTGCTATGGGCGTGCACCCACTGAGACAGAGAGGAAAACTGAGAAAGTACTCCCCACCCACCACCACCTCCCCACTCCTGGGATGGCCACAATCTCTTTTTTTATTTTTTGGAGAGGTTTTTGCTATAGGGCACATGCGCTTGCCAGAAAGACAGGAAGAGATAGAGAAATAGAAAGTGAGAAATCATCGCCCCAAGGGGGATGGCCACACTGCAATTCCTTCTCCATTTTCCTCTCTGGATCTTGGGCACACATGCACATGTGCCTGGTGTGAGTTTAAGCCACTGGGTCTGGGACTCGAACCACTACATAGGAGTCCAGCGACATAGCCATTACGCCAACTGCTGGTCCCACCAGGAAGAAATTTTTATAAAAAGAATTTAAGGGGCCAGCAGGTGGCATGGTGGTTAAGGTGCTAGACTCTCACATGGTCAACCATGGTTCTAGTCCTCTACCTAGAGGCTTGCTTTCCCAATTTTTCTCTCTCCGGTGAGTACACATGCCCTATGCAAAAGTTAAATAATAATAATAATGATAATAATGATAAATAAAATTAAATAATTATTTTTTTAAGAGGTTTTTGCTATAGGGCACGTGTGCTCTCCAGACAGACAGAGAGAGGTAGAGAGACTATAGAAAGCGAGAAATCACCCCCCAGGGGGGATGGCCACACTGCAATC